AATGCACCCACCACACCAGTGTGATAAGGCAGCACTGGGGCGCGGGGCTCGCTTGGGTCCTTCAGCACATGAAACTGCACTCGGGAGTCCCTGAGCTCGTGGGAAGCACTGGAGGCAACTGCAATAGGAAACTGGTCTGGTCATCTTCCAGGGTGAATGCCTTATTTTTTGGGGAAAAAACTGAGAATGGATTACTGAAGTTGCAAATTTGGTAACTCACCCTCAGTACAATCCAACCCAGACTTGTTTATTGCTTTCAGTAGCAGTACTCTTTTTTCCTTTTTTTTTTTTTTTTAAGAGCACGATTGAACTTCAATAGGAATTTATAATTGGAATCTAGAAATTGTCTTCAATAGAAATTTTCTACACTTAGCTTCTACAATTTTAGAAGTTTTTTTTCCTCTTCATCAGCTGCAGAGAAAGAAGAAATGAGGGACTCCGGTTTTCTGTGATTTTGCCAAATCCCTAGCCCCTGACCAATGAAATAGTGCCGAGTTATACTAGGTAGGGATCCAGTCCTTTTGGTTTGAAGTTGAAAAAACCAAAAAAACCCACAAACAAACCCAAACACCCACTTCCCCCCAACCCACCACCAAACAGCCGTAGTTTGGGCTGTTGTCTACACTTGTACCACTGAAAGAAAGCAGTGTTAAAGGTTGGATCAAAGAAAATACTTATTTTTGTAATCTGTAAACCTACCGTCATCCTTGGTTCTTTCTATAACTGCGGGAAAGCTGGGGACTCCATCGCCGATACGAGTGAATGCCAATACCTGGATCTCATAGACCACGTATTTTCGCAAGCCAGACAGCAGGAAAGACTGAGTGTGGTTACCTCTTACTATTTGGCTCTTTGGTTCAGAGTCTAAATCTTTTGCTTTGAAAAGTATCTGCAGAACAAATGTATATGAAACGTAGAAAGGAAAAGAGTGTTACATAAGGACTGAAAAAAGGACATTTTAGATTCCTCCTTTTCACAAGTATAAAACGAGATTATATTCACCACTCACCCTTTTAAAAAACAGCATACTTCCTATACCTTCTCCAGCTCATTTATGAATAATATAAATATCCAACAGGTGAATAATAAATATCAAATGGAAAAAAAATATCCAGGTAATGCATTAAAAATTAAGTAAGCATGAAACTCCAGTTGTGTACCTTGTAACCCAGGACGAGACCATTCTGCTCGGACTCGGGGACTGCAGCCCATGTCAGAAGGATCTGGGTCGAACTCACGGCTTCAGCAGAGACATTCTCAGGAGGACCAGAGGGAACTGGAACACACGGCACAGCCAAAAGCAAAAATAGGTAAGACGTACTAGATAATGGTGCTCCATTCCCCCAATCTGCTTGGGATTGTTCCAGGATCCCATAGAAGAGGACTCAAATCCAAAAGGACTGGAATAGGTTCTAGACAATCCCTTCTCCTCTTGTACTCATTCTGCACCGTTTTTGTATTCCAGCCTGCTTCACAGTTTCTTGCCAGTTTATCTCAGAAATCACAACGTTTGTAAAGAGCTAAACATTTAATAGTAATCAGTATCTACAGATAGACAGTAAATATAGACAGATATGAACAAATTTCAGGTTCTATATACTTGCAGTAATTAGAATCAAGTTTAAATTGCTGGACTTCTACAGAAGTCTATCTCCTAGTATTTCTTTCCCATACATTTTATTTCCCTATGCCAAAAACTAGAAATCTTTATGAATGGGAGTTTATCTTATGGTACGATCTGTTCTAACAAGAAGTTTTACGCCACCTTGACTTCCTATATTATCTGAAAGGAAATTATAGCATCTGGTCTAGTGTTAGCAATAATTCCAATCACCGGATTGCACTCCCAGTTCAGTAAGAAGTTCTTTAACCTCTAAGCCCTTTGATTATGTGATAGCGTTCAACATTTGCAATACATCAATTATAGACGGCCGCATTAACGCAAGGTGTATTTTCAGGGACTGATACGGTGTAAATGAAAGATATGCCTATTTCATTTATGTTGCAAAATTGGCTCTTATGAAACTAGAAACATCATTAGAACTGATGGCACAGGAACACTGTAATTTTCTCTGACTCGAGAGAAGAGCAAACTTGCATTTTCTCACGCCATTAAAACTCTAACCACTGCAGAACCACACAACTGCAGGCTTTTGTAGGCAAGCTTAATAGCATGCCGTGTTACGCAAAGCAGAATTTGAGGCTATTTTTAAGAGTTCACATTTTACGCTGCCCTTTTGCATTTTTTTTCCCTGTGGCATTTCCAGCATCTGAAGGGTACAATCTTTTCTAAAGCATGATACACCTGTCAGACCTCAAGAGAACATTTCACCAAGTTATGTTACACAAGCACTTATGGACAGTAAGGCTTGATTAGGTCCTGAATATATCACAAAAAGGAGCACCAATCTCTGCCAAAAGTAATGCTTTCCTGGCTGTCTGAATGAAAGAACAGATCTGCTGCTCTGAAGGCGAGCTCCTGAAGCTCCTAGCAACATGAACGAGATAATGAGTATGACACCAGAATTAATATAAATTGGAAAAAAAATGCACCGCCCCCCACCCTTGTGCACTCAAGGTCAACCGCGGAGATAGTAATTTCTGAGACAATTTCCCTGTTACCAATTATTTGGGACAGGAGCACCATCACACAACACTGCAGCAGACTAAAATCCAATTTTTTTTCCTCTCCAATGCTGAAGTGCCTTTTTTTAAAAAAAAAATCTTCTCCTAGATTTATCCCCCACAAGGATATAATTACGTTAAAGGAAAATAGATTGCCAGGAGCCATGAATGTCTTTGGATAACTGCCATAACTTTATCTGTAGATCTTCACAAAGAGCTACTCCCACATGAATCACTTCTGGCGAGAGAAAGGGTGGAGGTGGGTCGCAGGAAACCAGAATGCGTAGAGGAAAGAAGCCCTTTCCAGCCACATTTGTTTTTATTTTATCTGGTTTGAAGCCTTTCAAGAGAGAAAAAGTTTTTTTCTTTTACAAATATTTCTCTTCCTCTTTGATCAGCAGCCATGAGATCTCCCAAATTCACAAAAGGTGGAGGCTGTGCCCAGGCTGGCCCCGCGCGCATGCTTGCTTTGAGGTGTGTGTACGACCACGCTGCTGGCAGGGTGACTCGAAAGCTCACGAAGGAGAGAAGGGTCTATCTGAAGATGTATTAGCCCAGACTCCTCTTAATTCCCAGTGACAGCCAGAGCAGCTAAATGTCCCCTCTCGCTGGAAAGAAGCCTAAGTCCAATGCCTAAATGGCCAAAATTCTTCCGTTCGTTGAGTGTGCTTTAATTCTCCTCTTCTCATATTAGTGTTGAGAATTTTATTCTAATATGGTTGTATGAACTTGCAAGTGATATTATGGATCTTATTGTTGCCAGTCTTTTATCAAGTGACAGACTTTGATCGACCCTCTAAGAATGAATTGAAACGTAACCTTCATTTCTCTGACCCCTCTCCTCTCTCAGGATATCGTGATTCAAGGACATTATAGTTTGCCGAGACTAATTAGCAGCTTGAGTGAGGCATAGAGATCCCTCTTTCCTCTGCAAGCTCCATTCTCTAATGCTGGTTTCCTTAACTATTGCACTGAAGACTTTGTTATAAGCTCCAAAGCCGAGTTCTCATTAGTAACCCGCAAGAACAGAAGCCAAGCAACAGTGTCCAAAAAAATCTCAGAGCTTTAACGAAATGAACCGGAAATACTGAAGCTAAATGATGAGCTAATCCAGCAAACTGCCAGCTGCACAATGTACTTTAGAAGATCAAACGTAGGAAATTATAGTTACTGGCACTTTGGACTGGAACTTCAATAAGAACTCAAGTTTTTAAGGTTATCCATGTTGGCATCTAAGACCGTGCATCGTCCCTCTACATCTGACATAGCCATATTTGATATATAGCAAATGATGCTGTTTCATGTCACTAACTGGGCCAAAAGCAGCTTTTAATAAGCTAGCCTGTATTCTGGCTTTCTAAGAAAAAAGTGCAGTGGTTCTCTCCACTTTGGCAGCTCATTTTAGCTGAACATCCATCGCTGTCTTTTGAAAGTAAAAATTAAGCTGACATGTCGTACATCTGACATCCATTAAGAGGTGCAAATTTAGAGCAAGGTTTGTGGCAACGGTAGCGTAGCTGCAGTACACAACCATCTTGCCTATAAAATTAGATACCGCAGGCTAAATTCTCAGCTTGTATAAACTGACAAATCCCTGCAGTGACATTGGACCACATTTGAATTATCAAGTGATGCTTTATCACATCACAGTAACTGCTTCATGAAGGTCAGCCTCTGAATCATCAAAAGATTGATCCTTGCCATAGATGTGTGACCCTGTTTGTGTAGTAGCTGGTTTTGTAAGACAAGTATGCACGTTCGTGCAGCTGAACATTAGGAGCCCAAAAATATTAAGGCACTGGGTTAGGTGTATTTGAGATCAATTGTTTGAAAATAACAGGTTTTATGTCTAAAAGGCAGCAGCCCTGTCAAGGTTGTTCTAATACATTAGAGATCTTCACATTTGATGATCTTAGAGGTCTTTTCCAACCTTAATGATTCTATGATTTTCTTGCTTTCTCAATATTGTACCTATCGTCGTTGTCAATTTATTGAGTGGAAACTGAGCTTGTTCCTCTGCAGTTATTTTACACTGTAAAATTTAATGAGTTATTTAATTTCTAACATTATAAAAATATTTTGGATTGATAAAACCTGTCCTGTTTAAAAATCCTAATTCATCCCCCTCCACCTTCAGCTGCTTGCAACCCTATCTCAGATTTTTATTTTAGGGTTTCCCAACTGTTTTTGAAGCCTGGGTTTCCAAACCCCAAAGTGTTATTTATTCTCTCATAGCTTCTTTCTTCTTATAGAGATGTTCTATATTCTAGTACCTGTAACAGCATGCTCCTTTATTGTCAGCATGTGTGCTCAGCTAGTACTAATACGATCGCACGTCCTAGAATAAACAGCAGTGTAAAAGTACAGCTTTATTTTCAATAAAGATTTCAGATTCCAGTGGCTGCACTGCCATCAGAATACCACAAGGAGATTTAGAGCCCGGGCTCTAACTCCTTGGGCTCCTTGGATGGTGTAAACCAAAGAACTGTGAGTTCTGCCAATGAACCAAGTGACCCTGGCCAAGGCACCTCTGGCCAGCTCTGAGGGATGTTTACAATCTGCAGCACCAGGCAAAACCAACTTCCCTAAGACTCCGTATCTACAAAATGGAAAAATATGTATTTAGGACATCAGCTTTTAAAGTACTTTGAAAACATAGCGATAAATAGAATTTTTCTTATAGTTCAGAAGACAGACCTAAAAACGCTTTGACCTTTCTCTCTGGCTTTGGCTATCTTTTATTTGCATTTTAACCCCATTTGACTGTGCGTACAGGTTAAGTGCAGATTCCCTGAAGTTCTCTCATGCAGCTTGCTGCTATGCCAGTGCTTCCTGTATATTCTAAATCTAAGAAAATACAGCCAAAAATCTGAGCCCTGACTTGCTCTATTCAAGAAATCAGATGTTAGTATCAAAGAAAACACATGAAAAAAACCAAATGAGTCCTTATGGCCCAGATCACAGCTTTGTGTTATTTTGATCCTGGTTTCTGTGTGATTCCTACAATCAGTTTCAAGTCAATCTTCTTTTAATACTGCAAGAGAAAATGCCAAATACACATGTAACCTCTGATCTTTAGATGCTGAGCAAGAGCACTATAATCCTATGGTTTTATGAAATCACTTAATCTCAGTATTTACTACATTTCAAAAGAAGTGTTTGAAGAGCAGCAGAACGGAGAAAGCGGAGAATGCACTACCTTTTTCTTATGATACAGAACACTTCAGAACTATTTTGTCTGGGTCATGCTACCTCTAACTCCAGCACAAGCATGCCTTGTTTAAAACATACCTCTGGCAATAGCTTCCCAATTACTACTTCCCAAAAAGCAACACTTTATGGAGGGGAATGATTTTGTTTAGCATTCTCCCCAGCTAGTTCAAAGGATAGTTATCTGAACCAGCAGACCAAACCCTGCCATGTACAGCACGTTCACCGTACAGAGTGCGCAGACATGCGTATGTGTGTCTGTAAGTGTAGGGTATGCATAGGAGAAAACTCCAAAACATTTTAATGAAGAAAAATAGGCAAAAAAAAAAAAGAAAAAATACCAGTGTTGAACCTTGCATAAATACAGGTCACAAAGAGCTTTTATTATTAAACTTTTAAACCATGTATGTCATTCATTTTGTTATTAATTTGCCATGTACATTTTAATTTATGGGGAAAGTAGGTCTGGAAATAGGTTTTGTGGAAGCTAACAGCTTTTCGAGATCTGTCTTTTCTGTTGCTACTAAGCTAACAATAATTTCCTGTTGCCTGAGATTGTGAGTTTGCTTCTGATATTTGAAGTGCCTACGCTAGTATGGACAAATCAGCCAGACAATACAGTACCTGTGCTCTAGGTCTACGTGCAGGTTAGGTCTGTGTGCAGGTTATGCCTACGTGCAGGTTATGTCTATATAGCCTTGTACACACAATTTTAGAAGGCAGTTTTTGAAAATGTGACATCAAAAGCTCTGATAATTATTTTTTTTCTATATGGGTAATCAGCTCTCTAAAATAACAGATAAGCACAACTGTGAGAAAATCTGCCTCAGCCTAGAAGCAGAGAGGGGAAAGGGGGAGAAAAGGGTACCAGGGAGGGAGAGGAAGCACGAGAGACCTGCTCAGCCAGAGAAGGCTGGATGCGAGTTTCTCGTCGTGTTGTCCGTACTGCTGCCAAACAGGGGCAGGAATGGGGAGAGGTTGTTTTGTTTGCTTTAAATAACCTGCAGGTTTATGCATGAAAGCGGGGTAGGAATAAAATAAATAACTCCCCCCCTCAAATGCCTGTATGTCTTTTTGCCTTCAGTGCATCTAGAGATTGTTTTATTTCTTTCATTTTAGATTTAACGGATCAACAAGCGAAAAAAAACCCCCAAACAAAACCAAACCAAACAAACTGAACAAAAAGGCAGAAAACGCTGAAGTTGGCGGGTGTGTCCTGCACAGTAGACACGGCGCTTTGACTCACCGGACTCCCGCGTACGACCTCTCACTACTTCACTCCATGGTCCTGCCCCGATGGCATTGAAAGCCTGGATCTGCAGTTCATACTCTGTCCACTCCTCCAGGTCTTCGATCGTGTACTCTCTTTCCAACCGGTCATTAATAACCTTCATCAAGGTGGGAGACTGCAGATCCACACGCCAGAACTTTATCTTGTACCCCACTGACTCCGGATTGCCGTTATACTGCGTGTCGGGCAGGGGCTGGCAAGTGACACAAAAAGCACAATGTTCCTACAGAGAACACATCGCCGGGGCTTTCCAACCCATATACCACGCTGCCTGAGCTCATGTAAGGCCACAGGAAGGCAAAAAAGATCAAGAGGTTGATTTTCTGTTTCGTTTATGTTTTACGGTCTCAATACTTCTGTGTTGCCTGAAATTTTCTTTTAATATTTACCTTAATTTTGAGCCAAATAGATATGGCCACAGAACTATGCCATCTGCTGTGGGTGTATCAACAGAGATGATACAAATACATTTCAGAGCTTTGTGATTAATTATGGAAATGAATGATAAATTGCTGAAGCATGTGACAAATTCATTTATCATACATTTTTAACTTTTTTTTTTACCGACTCTCTGCCTACTCATTTATCAGCAGAGATTTATTCTAGTATTCTAACTCCCCAAGCAATTTCAGAGATTAAAATATGAAATAATTAGCCTACTTCATGAAGTTTAGAGTTTTTCCCCATAAAACTAACTACACGAGACCACAGACGGCTGAGATCCAGTTCTGAATCACTGGGAAAGTTTGATACACATGAACATTTCACAGCTTAGAGGACTGTATCCCGCAGGCGAGCAGGGCTAAAAATGTGACCCTTATTCTGCAGGAAGGAAGGAATTCCCAGCTCCCAAGGGGACACAGATTCACCTGCAGGTCTTGGAAAAAAGAGATTAAACACTTTCAAATATTGATGTTACTAAGTGTGAAAAAGGTGTATCAGGCCATTTTTAGCTGTGGCTGTTGCTCCTCCTGAACCCTGCACAGTTTGACTCATGAAAAACAGGCATCCAGGTAGCACAGCAAGGAAACACAGTCTTAAAAATGTTTTAAAGTCTCTTAAAACAACCTTGAGTTAATTTTGATGGAAGATATGTAGGTCTGGATATACCACCAAACATTTAACAACGTGGGCATGTTTTTCACACAGCAAAGCCATGAATGAGTTACGTGCATCCTATCAAATGAACTGCAATGGCTTTTCTACTGAGGTGACACGTTCAAGTTTGATGTTCTGGTCTTTCAAGGTTCAGAATTAAGTGCAATATCCCACTGAGAAACTGGAATTTCTCCTTTCTGATGGGAGAAAACCCCTCTTGTTTCTAGCCTGATTTTGACTTCCAGCCCTAATGAGTTTATGCATGGAAAAGCTAACATTTGGGCAAAAGGAAACCTGTCCTTCATCAACTTCACACCATAGTAACCCCAGTGGAAAGTTATCCCTAACGGGGGAGAAGAAAAACCATTCTGGAGCAGGTTAATTGCCAAGCAAATCCCAATGTGGCAACTCTGTGGGTAACTGAGACAGTCAAAGGGGCACAACTATGTCATCAATCACTGCATCTTCACAATTAATCATTTCTTGCTACGCTTTATCACATAACTCCATACCCGTTCACATAAATATAATCCTCCTACAGGAGTGGACTTTGCTGCCTTTGAGCCACAGCTGCTCAGTACCTGCAGGACGATTGTCAACGGCCGGCGTGCACCTTCTGGGGACCATTTTCTGCAAAGCAAACGACTGAGCCCTAGGAAACTGCAAATTGGCTCAAGTATTGCATTCCTGTCCTACATGTTGACCCAGACGGTCGAAACTAGAGTCTCAAAAGCCAAGGTTTTACACACAGGCATATATTCCCCTGATGAAGTGGCAGAAGTAGTGGCAGTAGGCAATTTAAGTGATTAATAAGGCACTTAAGGTAAGTCTCAGATTTCTGACAATTCTGAAAAAGGAACTAATTTTGCTGTTACTCCTTGTGCCAAGTGCAAGGAAAAGGCATTCC